CCCTTGAAATTGAGCTAATTTGACCTTTCTAATAGGGACTGAAATTTCGCTTTCATCTCTAACTTCCAAAAATTTGAGTACTAGAGTCAATCTGAACTGGTCATAAGTCACGGGATTTCTGCATTATTGATTATCTGAATTACAGTATTAAATAATTTCAATCGAAGTTGAATTAATGCATCTACATGCTGGGTTAGATTACATAAGAATACATAGTATTTATATTGATGATCATAATAACTTTTTAAGCACCCAGCATCAAGATTTATGTTTTGTATTTTTTCGATTTTCCAAAGATATTCATTATACCAAATGTATAAAAACTCTGTTCAGAAAGAACAATTAAATCTTTTCTTATTTTAGTGGATATGACTTTGTCATAATAAGTATTTTTATGTTTCTTAAGAATAGTGCTATAATTTTCAAAATTAGTATTAACAGGTGTACCCCCGGGTCGAATATAATGGATCGTACATTTCCCACTGTGCCAGTTTTAAATAATTTTGACATTCTACGGTTTGAACCAAACAATATTTTGTATATAGTCGAAGAGTAGGCATTAAAGGTTCTGAATGGTTATGAAATTGACTTATCTCCACTCTAGTATGGATTCCTCAAGTTTCCTTGATGACTTTGATTCGTTCCAGTTCTTCCAGAGAAATTCCGGAAGGTTGGGAAATTTCCTGCATGGAATATCCTTGATGTTCCTCTCCAGTCGTTAACAGGAATACAACTTTCCACATCTTTCTAGGGATAGGGAGTGAAATGTAGATGATAAGAAAAAGATTGGCTCAATTCAATACACGGTGTCCCGTATCTGCGCACTCTAATTTTGAGTGTGGAAAGAGAGTGAAATTTGGGGTCGAAAGTTGCTGTTCTACTTTACTGTGCGACGCACCCCTACCGAGTTTTTCAACTTTGAAGTTGATCAGTCACAGCGTTGCTCCGCCCACTGGACCAATGGTTCTCAACTCAATCGTTTTTGAATGAGAAAAATGGTGATTATGAAATTTTCTTTTAGGATGAAGATCAGGGGCAGAATCAGGGGTCCAGGAATCGGCAGGGGGAGGGGGGAATCCAGCTCCAGGTGAAGGGTTCGATGAAGACAGATGTCCAGATGGAGTTCCAGGTTAAGTTCAAGTGTTAGGAATTATTCCAGGTGAGGGGAAAATTCCTAGAACTGTTCCAGCTTCAGGTCCAGTCCTGCGAACTGTCCCAAGGAGAGGTCCAGGTTCACCAACTGTTCCAGGTAGAGGTCCAAGTTCCGGAACCGTTTCCGGACCTGGAGGTGCACCCAGAACAGTTCTCGAACCTGGGCCTCCACTTAGAACAGTTTCCAACCCTGTGCCTCCATCCGGAACAGTTCTTGAACCTGGACCTCTCCCTGGGATAGTTCGAAGTCCTGGACCTGAAGCTGGAACAGTTCCGGGAAGTTGCCCTTCACTTGGAAGAATTTTGCTGCTCTGGATCTTGATGTGCTATTGTCGCAGCTTGCCGGGAGCGACTGGTCGGTGTTCGATGGCCTGTCGTCTCCAGACGAAATGACTGCATGTTTGGGCGGTAATCTTGGAGTCGCTATGGACGCTGCTGTCCCGCTCAAGACGGTGAGGAAGTCCTCGAAGCGCAAGCCGTGGTTTACTGATGGGATCGTTGCTCTTGTAGCGGAGAGAGATCGCCTGTACCGTGTGTACAAACGTACTCACTCTCGTCAGGCACTCTTAACCTATCGTACGGCTCGGGATCGTGCTCATCGTGAGGTTGGGACGACACGTCAACTTTTCTTCCAGCGAAGGCTGGAGCCTCTCCCTGACCCTTCGCTTATCTGGAAGGAGCTCAGAAGGCTGGGTGTGGTGACTGGGAATGACTCAACACCCGATTTCGATCCTGATGTCTTGAATCGTTGCTTTGCTGGAGTGTCCTTTGACGAGACGGAGCCTTCGTTGGATGGGTTCTTGGACTCGGCTGAGCTAGGGGCCATCCCTCCTGCCGTGGGTTTCTCCTTGAGGCCAGTCACTGCTGATGAGGTACAGAAGACTGTTCGGCACTTCTCTACCGAAGCTAAAGGGACTGATGGTTCCCAGGTCGGTGGTTGTGGCTGCCCTGCCGATTCTAACACCTTATCTAGTGATGCTCTTTAACATCTCTTTCGCTCGGTCCTGCTTTCCCTCTGAATGGAGGTCCCTTATTGTTGCGCTTGGCAAAGTGAAAAACCCTGTGTCACCTAATGACTTCAGGCCGATTGCCTTGCTCTGTTTCCTCTCCAACGTGCTGGAGAAACTTGCTTCCCAGCAAATCTCCGGCTTCCTTGCTGAGCGCTTCATTCTGGACTCCCTGCAGACGGGTTTTCGTCCATTCAATGGACGACATTAGAATGGGTATTCATAGACGGCAGCTGACGATACTGCTGTTATTCGATTTCAGCAAGGCGTTCGATTCCGTTTGTCACGTGTTGCTGCTGCGGAAGCTGTTAGGCTATGGCTTCTCAGCTTCTTCACTGAGGTGGCTTGCATCATATCTGGTTGGTCGTTCGCAAGCTACACTAGGCGGGGCGAATGGCTGTTCATCCTTCTGTCGTCTGAATAAGGGAGTTCCGCAGGGACCTGTCCTAGGTCCTCTGCTATTCCTTCTGTTCATTAATGATGTTGGTGTAAACTTAGGGTCCGGAGTTCGGCACCTGATATATGCTGATGATCTCCAGATTTACCTGACCTTTCCACGTGAGGAGTTAGAGGATGCCATTCGCCGCATGAGCAATGCTGCTAACGATGTCCATTCCTTGCCCGGTTTGTCTGTCAACGTTGGTGGCTCTGCAATTCCGTTTGATACTTCCGTGCGCAGCCTGGGAGTGGTTCTGGATAACAAGCTCTCTTGGAAGGGACATGTGGCGCATGTGACGCAGAGGGTTCACTCTGTCATGTACCGCCTTCGGTTCTTTAGAGCCAGTACCACTCTGGGTCTGCGGAAATACCTAATTCAGGCTTTGGTGTTCCCCCTGATCGACTACTGCGCAGGAAGTACTTCCTTGCGTGCCTCACTTACAAGATCCTCCGCTTTGGTCAGCCGGTGTATCTGGCTGACTTTTTTGTAGCCAGTCGGGCTGTGCGGCCGGTGAGGGGTGAGGTGACTCCCCTTATGATCAAGCCTTTCAGGACTGAAGCCATGCGATCCTCCTTCCACGTGTCTGGGGCTTATTTATGGAACTCAATTCCCTCTACAGTGCGGGACCTTCCCACACTGTCGTCTTTCGGATTAGCTGTGCGGAATTATCTGAGGGACAACTCTTCATGCTTTTCCTACCCTTTGCTCTCCTCTTATCACTTTCCCTTCCTCTGCTGCCCCTGCCTTCCTATCCCTTCTTATTCTTACACTATTCCCTTTTTCATCGTTACCATTTCGCACTTACTATTCACCCGTTTGCTTAGGACCCGCCGAAGCTTGCTCTTTCTGTTGCATATTGCTCCTTCTCCTCTTAGTCTGCTTTTTAGGTATCTATTATTATTAGCATGTAATGTTTACTCCGTGATATTCACTGCGACTTACTGTATACCAGCTGAAGTGGTTTCGCCACCATAATTTTGTACAACATAATGTACAGCAATAAACTCAATCAATCAATCAATCCCTCTCTGATCTCGATTTGTGTCAATCGTTTTTTTTTTTAATATTTATTATTATTATTATTATTACTATCATTATTTAAATTTGTTTGGATGTCCCGGAATCCGCGAAAAAGTTCGAATGAACCCCATAAAATTTTGATTACTAATTTATTGAGTCTCGCGTCTGTACAAAAAAAAATTTCGGGTTGATCGACTCAGCACATCATGGCAGAGAGCCACCGAACCAAAGTCGTTTTTCTAAAAATGGCACATCGTCACTTTATCAATGATGTTATCGGACGGATGATTGGTCATTCAATACCAAATTGTGCTCATTTCCATTATAAAATATCGATCAGATTAAGTCGGGGAGTCTAAAAGGAAGTGTCAATTCTCATTTTTGAGATCTAAAGCGCTACGGATCCATCCACAAGCTCCGTGCCAATGGAATTGATAGGAGGGGAAAAAAACTTATTAACACATGAAGTAACAGTTACATGGCTTCTGCTGCATAGGAGTTCTACCCTGTTCGTAGTATATTTAATGTATATATATATTGAAAAAAATTGGAGAGATCGAGACGAATATTTTGGGAAAAAAATTAAAATCGGATGAACGTTTTTTGAAATATTGAACAATATATTTTTTACAAGAAAATTAATGTCTCAAAAACCGCGCATTCGATTTCACCCACCTGAAAGACCAGTCTGTATGTAATGAGAGTTAGAATCCTATAAAATTTCAACTTCTTATCGCAATTTTTTCGAGCGTTAGTGTTCACATCAATTGTACCTCAAAAATGAAAAATGTCAATTACTGGACGACTCGCCCTAGTTAGCTGGACATATTATCCAATTCAATAGATTTTATCGTGATGAATAATTTGACGTGAAAAGAATTATATGATGCAGTAGTTTTCAAGATATTGAGAAAAGAAAAATTTTTCGGAATCGCTGTATTCCAAAAACTACTGGCCTGATTAATCTGAGATTTTGTCCAGATGTGCTCCCAAACAATACCACTCAGGCACAAAAATTTCAAATTTTTACCCATCACTTTGGCCCGTATTCTGTGAAAATTTATAAAAAAATTCCTAGAATTTTGCATGCACATACAGATACACGGCAGACATTTTCGAAAAACATATCTCCACGTTTCATGAATATTCTAATGACTATGACTTCATGAAAGTCATTTGCAAGCAAAATTAGAGAATCGAAAAATCCACCGATTACAAAGCCTTCCTAAGAAGGCCTTAGCCTATGGTTGCTTCCATTCAGAAGCAAAAAATTATTATAATAAAAAAGACCATTCTAGAATGTCAAGAAGGATTTTCCAAAATTGCAATTTTGTGCGAACGAAAAAGTCCTAAGCGGAAATCTCACAAATGCAGAACACTACTCACAGTTAATGTCATAATTCGTTAGAATTTTATAGTTTTATTGTGGAAATTAGTCATTTGTCAAATCTTAATTTTAATATGTGCACAGCGTGATTTAAAATAATTATTTTCGATTTTTTGAGGCAAAACCCGAAAATCCCATGATCGCTGCCATTTCATTAACACCTCCGACTTCTTCCTCATTCGTTTCTTCTAGTTTCCTTTTTCTGTCCTTCTTCCGTTCCTTCCTATACTCTTTTATTTTTTCTTCCTGTGGAAATGGAAATCAAACGAAGAGTAAATGGTAATTCAATGAAGAAACTGGAGATGAAATTATGACCGTTATTTCTTATGTCATAATTTGAGTAGATTGATATTGTAACTGCTATTCAGATGGAATAGGAAACAGGAAAAGTATTTACAAGGGTAAAATGTTTTTAATGGTTAAATATAACTAAAAATTGTTATATTTATTTATGCCATATGACCATCCTACGACGCGTTACAAACTTTTTGCAAAACTCTAGATGAAAAGATTGCATGAAAGCATTTTGGTTTCAGCGACATGGTTGAAAATTCGTTCGGAATCTCTAGTTTTCTTTTTTTGTAATCACCTCTTCTTTAAGTTCCTTGACTCTCTGTTCCAAGTCATAATCTTTCTTTTTCTCCTCCATTTTCTTTTTATTGGCAGCAAATCTGGCCTTCACCTGATCCAATGTCGACCTTTCGATTTTCATCGACATTCCCAGGTTTCGTTGATCTGAAATAGATAGGACCATGTCACTCAACGCCATGAGAAGTATTTAAAGATGTTCAGAGGGATGAATACTCACGTTTAGTTCCATTTATGTGGTCCAGGAAATTTATGGAATCCTTAACAACACAATCGCACACATTGCAATAATACCTGCGAGGAAAAACATTGGAAACAATTAATAAAGTACTTATATCCTTTGAATTAAAAGTGTTGAATTTGGAAGAGAAATAAAAGGAATCAACTTCCTTTTTACATTCCTCAACATTCGATGAGAGAATATAATATATCGTATTTGGATGCTGAGATGTAATATAGTTCAACTTATCACATCTTAGCAACTTGCGAATTATTGTTCTAATTATTTTTTGAGGAACAAAATTTTCTAATATAGAGAAAAAGTTTCTCAAAATTTTCTAGAAAATCAGTCGATTTTGCTGAAAAATAAATGGAGTTCAGGTCAGACCTCTATGAAACTGAAAGGGTGAATGATGCCCCTCCATAAAAAAAAATCAAGCATAAAAATGAATGTCATACCCTCCAGTCTGTGAAGAAGGTGTGGCCTTATTGATGACCACACTTTTTCCCAGTTTCGACTCTAAGTCTACTTTGTAGTCCCTTTGCTTTAGAAGTTCCCTTTTCACTGCTGGGGCTTTTGGTATCCCCAACTCTTCTTCAGCAATCTCCTCTTGGAGCCTTTGGAGAGCAATCCTCTCATATTCTTCCCTACTCCACTTCCTTCTGTGGTCATCTGGACGTTGCTGCAAAATTAAATTTGCAAAATAAAATTTTCACAAATCGATTTTTAATCAACCATAACACGAAATCAATAGATAACCTCGAAAGAAAAACACTAATAAGAGTTCTCAGAATGCAAAAATTATACAAAAATGATTGGCGCATATTTACTTACAGTCATGGTGAGGATTTTGCTCCACCGTCCAGAAACAATTTGATATTTGTTGGATGAGAAACTTAATTCCAGGCAGTTCCACTCATAATGTTCAGAAAATTATTTTGACGTGTGTTGTTTAGAGAGATAGCGAGAGATTGTTCCAGAGATTATAGGGGAGATGAACAGGGCCAATGTAAAGTGTTCAACAACAAAAATTGTAGCGGTGGCGCATGGACTACGATGGAGCGTACGGAACTGTTGGTATGATAGGGCCCGAGCATAAATTTGTCGATAACCGGAAAGGGGTTCTCAATACGGTAGCTCCTCGCATTTTGTAATAATTGTCAGGAATGTAAAATCGAACATATTATAATCAATAGTATAATGAATGTACAATCTAATGATCTAAAAGTCTTTTCCTTTTTCGTGACATATTTATCATTGACACGTAGGTAAAAAAATTCATAGAAAATCCCAGCGCTGTCGCTGGAAAACTCTATAGTTTTCCAGTGATTCTATTGAATAATTGTGCAGATTTTGTTTTTTTTTACCATAGTAATGGTCGATTATATATATTTATTCCCCCCCTGAGTGAGAAAGGAATATGTATC